GTTTTACATAATATATAAACATTTCAATTGTTTTGTGTCAAACAAACAAATTTCATAATGATAATCATAACAAATCATGTTATGAATTGAATCAAGTAAAATCTCAATACAAACTCATAAATTAATTTTTCCTAAACGAGTATTATTACATTTCTTTAATGTAATAAGAAAGTTAAGAAAATAATAAAATTATATAAATTCTTTTCACATTTGATACAAAAGTAAAATTTCCACAAAAAGAAACCTAAAAAAATAAAACCATATGACTTAAAAAAATTATGAATGAAAAATATTTTTAAAAAAAATTTGCCAACAATGAATTTTTATTCTTAATTTAAATTTAATTTTTTTTTTTTTTTTAAGTTTAAACAAAATTTAATCATTGATAAAAAAATTTGCACATGATTTTATGAAAGGTTAATAAAACGTTGAAAACACATTCATGAATTAAAGCAACAAAAAAAATTTTAATGTTTATATAAAAAAAATTGCAGGGAGCATAAGGATTTATATATTTTTATGAACAAATAAGTACAAATGTGTGTTTTTAGAGGCGCACGTGCAAAGCTCGCGTCTCTTCGAAAATCTATATATTTTTTTTTCTTTTTTTTTTTTTTTTTTTTTTTTTTTGGGTACTATTATTAATAAAAAACAACTGACAACAATCGTGGGAGGTGAAACAAAGCACTTTTTAAAAAAAAAAAAAAAAATTTTTTTTGTTTAAAAATACAAAAAAGCCTTTTTTTTTTGTTTGTTAGATATTATATTTAAGAGTAAAATTAATTCTTTGGAGACTTTAATGATTTTTTTACTTTAAATGATTTTTTTTTTACTTTAAATAATACTTAAATGATTTGTACTTACAATAAGGAAATTATTCGATTTATTTTACCTGATTGAAATGTAAAAAAAAAAAACACACAAAAATGATATAAACGCGAGAAACCAGAAGAAGTAGTCAATAAAAACCGTTAGGAATTTAGCGGGAAAAAGTGTCATTAGACAAAAGCTTTGTTTACATTTTTATAAAAGGATCGATCACGTTAAACGAAATAACAACATGATGGAACGTTTAAAGAGTAAAATAAAATAATTTTATATTAACTGGGAAAAATATTATTAAAAACAAACAAAATCATTATTTTCCGATATTTTAATAATGACAAAATATCTTAAAAGAGAAAAAACATTTAATTCAAAACTTTTTGTGAGATTGTTGCCGTCAGTCGATTTCAATTATGATTACGTTAAAATAGATAACAACAAAAAGGTGAGTTGGAAAAAGATTTTATTCATCCGGAACACTCTGAAAGGACGGACATTTTAGGAAAAAATAAATAAAAAAAGACGCTGATCCAACATGATCGGATATTAATTTGGTGACAGGTTATATATGTAAGATGTTTGCAAGATTTAGCTAGAGGGGTTAAACAGAAAAATCCAAACTTTTGGGCATTTTGCACTGATGGAATTTTATGGAATGCAAGTCAAGATGAAATATTCGAAACGGTTGCATCAGATTGGTACGATGACATTTTTAATGGAGTCAGTGGAATAATTTTGGCTTACGGTCAAACAGGATCTGGAAAAACTTTTACGACTTCCGGATTGTGGCATCCGTTTCCTGTAAAAAAAAAAAAAAAAACTTACTTATTTTAAATAAAATTTTACCATAATTTTATCCTTGACAAAAAATTTAAAAAAAAAAAAGTTAAAAATTTTTTCAATTTTGTTTAGAACAGAGGTTTAATATTGAGAATTTTATCACAATTAATTGTCGAAGCCAAACAAAAACAAGAAACAACAAAAATAACTTTGGGTATAAGTTATATAGAATTTATTGGAGAAACTGTCAGAGATTTAATTAATGGCAAAATGATTGATAAAATTCAAGTAATTTTTTTTGCATTCTCTTTTATTTTATAAAGTAAAATTTGTATAAAAATTATAAAATTCTAAAAACTGAAAAATAAATTATTAAAAAAGGAAGTTATTGAAAATCCTATACTGAGTGAAGAATGGGCATGGAGGGCAATATTTAAAGCAGAATGTCAAAAAACTTATGTTGAAGGAGCACCATATAAAGGATCAAATAAAGGTCATTCAATATTAACTTTTTATATTCATTCTGAATCTCTTATTGACACTGATCCGATAATAACTCATTCTAAGGTAATTATAATTTAATTAACAATGAAATTAAAATAACACATAATTTTTTTGTAACTACATAAATAATTTTCAATATGTTTCAGGTTCACATTATTGATATGGCTGGAATTGACAATTATGGACACAAAACATCAAATTGGAAAGATAAATATACCGTTGGACAATCAAATCTTTCAAAATGTTTAATAGAGCAAGTAATTATTTGCTTGTCAGGAACATCATGGAAATCTGGAACTCACATTTGTCCTTATAAGTCGTGCCGTTTTCTTATATTTTTACATGATACTTTAAGGCCATCTTGTCACATAAGGTAATATTTATTGAATTTTATACTAAAATGATACAATTAATCCATATAAAAATTTTGTATTGACATTCTTAATTTATTTTATTTTAATATTACAATTTTTTTTTTTTTGTTTTTACTACACTATTATAAAATGGAATTTAAAAAATAAGTAAATAAATAAATAAATAAAAAGAAAAGAAGATTACAATATTTATTAATTTATTTATTTATTTACTTCATAGATATTTTGAAATCATATATCTAGTTTAGATAAAATTTCCAATTATAATGTTTTTTTTTTTTTAATAAATATTTACTATAATTAATTTTAGGTTTATCGCTCATATTCATGGAAATGACCCAAATCTTTCACAAACAATATCGTCATTAAAATTTGGAGAAAAGTTAAAAGGTTTTAAACCGACAAAAATTAAAACCAACTTTGAAACTGATTGTTTTTTGCAAATTAAAAATTTGGAAGTAAGTAAAAATAAATTTTTTTACATTGTATTATTTTTTTAAATTTAAATAATTTAAAAATAATAAATTTTTTTTTATGGTTGGAAGAAAAAAAAAGTAAATTTAAAAAAAATTTTTTTTGCTGGTTTCAGAAAGAATGTCAACGTTTAATCGATGAAGCAGAGTTAGCAGGCATGTTGCAAAATGCTCCAAATTATTGTAATTTATCTCAGGATAGGATCCTTCAGGTTTTAAACAAATAAAATCTTTGAAAAACCCCCCCCTCTCGCCGTTTTGTCTCCTTAAATAATTAAAAAAAATAAATAAAAAATACTTTTTATATGCTTTGATGTATTGCAAATTGCCTATACATTAATTTTCATTTTTATTTTTGTAGATAAAGAGAGCAGCG